AGTGAGTGCTTCTGTAACCTTCATTTGTTTCTGTCACACGATACTGTTCTGGATACTTAATAGTGTTCTTATGACGTCCGATATTGTCCTTAGCATCAACCTTGTGGAATATAATAAAGTATTGGGATGGAAGTGACGGATAATAAAATATGTGGGCTGGATTAAACGATTGATAATTATTTACTCCTCTATTCATAATTAAGTTGTACTGTACGTGAGAAATAAGTCACCTCGATACATTACACTACCAGTATAATCAACTAATGAATAATTAAAGAACAGAGAGAGAGAGAGAGAGAGAGAGAGAGAGAGAGACCTTCCTTTCTCACGACACACTATATTTTTCCTTACAACTTTATATCAACTTAGAGGCGGGAGTTAGCACTGCTCACTACCCTTGAGCTTTTAGTGGATACTCTCCCCTACAACTGACAAGCCTAGCAGCACATAGTAGCGGCGGGGTTCAGCCAACCAGCGAGTTTCTCTGACAAGCCTCGCCGTCTAGACAAGGGGGAGGGGGTCACCACCTGCGACGCTTACTAACGGTTCTACGTCCGCTGGACGTGTATATAAGCTCCAGCCAGTGGGGAGTGCTGAAATTCCTCTGCTATTTACTCAACCGGAATAGGTAGGATCTAAAAAAAAAAAACGGTTATGGAGCGCGTACGCCCTCCTAACCGCGACCCCCGCCTGAACCGCCAACCTGACGACCCGAACTACGACAGGCTTCGCACAGAGAAAGCGGACCAGTTACGCGCCTTCAATGAAGCCCTGAAAAGTAGGAACACTGCCACCACCTCCAACAACTCCACCACCACTGCTACCGCCACTGAGGACAACTGGACGAAGGTAGAAAACAAGAAACGCCGACGTGCTTTTTCGGGAAACGAATGCCGTCAAGCAGCCCAAAAGGCACCCATCACCACCACCAGCTCACCTCCAACGACACTGCCAAAATTCCGGATCACGAAAACGGACACAAAAACCACATATGCCGCCATCACAGAGATGGAAAAGCTAAATCCACTGGCCAAGTTCTCAGTGCGGCCCAACCTAAAGGGGGAGATGATCGTTCACCCCAAAGACAAGGACTCCGCCACCACCCTCGACACTTACCTGCAAAACACCACCACCGTTGCATCAACCAAGCTAGACCCGGCCCAGAAACTGATGAAGTCGGTAGTCCTCCGGTACCCAAAGGAACTACCTCTCGAACCCCTGGAGAACCACCCGAAGATCTTAAAAGCCGAGAGATGCTCTCCCCTGTCCGACAAGACGGCCACCACCAAACAAGTGCTCATAACGCACTACGGCTCACCCCCCAGCACCATAGACCTCAAAACCTGGGGGATCTACGAAGTGAGGCCCTTCGTCCCAGAGCCCCTGCGGTGCTTCAGATGCCAGAAATACGGGCACCATCAGACAAGGTGCACGTACAAGGAAATCTGCGCAGTCTGCGCACAGAAGCACGGCACACACTCCTGCCTCACCAAGTTGAAAAATGGGGAAAAAATTGCCCCCAAGTGTGCCAACTGCGGGGGCAAACACCACGCCTGGAATCCTGGATGCTCCGAGAGAACAAAGAGGGTCCAGGCAAACCGACCAGCAGCAAGACCGGCCCCCACCGCCTACACACCAGCCCCACCAAGTACCTTCGTGTGGGGAACCCAAAGGCCAAAACAACAAAGACAACCTCCTCAGCCAGTCAACACCCAAAGTGCAGCCCAGTTTCCTGGCCTCACTACGGCCACACCTCAGCCACCCAAGCAGCAGACAACGACAACCACGAGAAAGACAAAAGAAGCACACACCAAGGCACCAGAAGGAATGATACACGTATCAGACCTAGCCAAGGTACTGACAACCTTCGCGGAGGGCCTAGCCGGACTACTGGGCCACAAGATCCAACCCACACAGCTCCAAATACTCATGGGGAGCGTCCTCGGGCAAGTCGCCACAGCTCCAGCCACCTCAGTGGAGGAAGCCACGCCGGTCCTCACACGAGTGACAGCCGAGGTACACTCTACACCGAAGAAGGCCACCAGAGAACCCAAGATACCGACAGCTCCCAGAAAGAAACTGGACGTTTCAACTCCCCTGAACCGAACCACGGCCCAGAAGGCAAAAACCACAGAACACGAAGATATGAACCTGATCCAGTTGGAATCGAACTTGGACATCTCCATCGAGGACCACCAGAAGTCCCCGATGAAACAGTGGTGGAAAACATCAGCACCCTGAACATCCTAACATGGAATGCTCAGGGCATCAAAAACAAGAAACACCTCCTACAAGAAGCAGCAGCCAAGGACAAGCTTGACATCATACTGCTACAAGAAACACTTCTACAAGAACACCACTGTTTCAAATTCAGTGGTTACAAGACATACAGGAGGCATTTCACGCAGGCGTCAACAAGAGGATGTATGATCTTGGTCAAGTCAAGCATACCCTCCGCCGATGTCACGCAGCAATTTCCATGTGGGGAAAACATCGAGACACAGGCCGTCAAAGTAACCCTCCAAGAACGGGAATTAACTGTTCACAACATCTACAAGAACCCAAGGGGCTCACTGGAGGTGACTCAATTATTTGCTTCGGCCGCTGACCACGCCACACTCATAGGAGGGGATTTCAACGCACATCATCCCTTCCTAAGCTCGGCAAGCCCCACAAATGAAGACGGCCTACACCTATACACCACCTTTCAAGATACACCCGAGATCTGCCTCCTGAACACCGGAGAGCCCACCCACACTAGGGGAGGAAGGCTAGATCTAACCTTCGTCTCCAGTGCACTACAGCCTTCGGCCTCCTGGCAGATACACCCCACGCTAACCAGCGACCACTTCGCCACCCTAACAACGCTGAAGGTGAACAAACTCCCCACTCCACCCCCCCCCCGAAATGGAGATACAATATCCAAAAAGCAGACTGGGGACTCTTTAAGAAACACCTGGCTAAGTGGCGCGAAAAATCACAGCCGGCCGGCGCAGCACCAGTGGATGAGAAAACCCTCCACCACCAATTTGGTCGAGGCGTTTCACCAAGCGGCAGAAGAGGCTATCCCAAAAACAAAACCCACATCAAGACAGTACAATGATTACTGGTACTACTGTCCCAGGGTGAAAGAACTCAACCACAGAGTGAACATGGCCCGAAGAAACTACAGGAGACATCCCACGGAAACAAACAGACATCTCCTGCAAGTCATAGTTAAGGATACCAGGGAGGAGAAGGAAGAAATAAAAAACGTAAGCTGGCTCAAGTGGTGCTCCGAACTGAACGAGCACACCTCCCTCGGCAAGATGTGGGCCCAGATCCGAAGGGCATCTGGGAAGGCAACACCACCACCACCAACCCATGCCAACCCAGAAGAGGAAGCCGAGAGACTTGCAAAACTGTTCTCTGACCGAGCAGCAACGAAAAACCTCCCGAGACAGGCGGAGGAGACACAACGGCGTCTGCGACAGGTCAGACTCCAGATGATCGAAGAGGCCTGCAACAGTGAAAATGACACTGACAGACCTTTCAACCAGCAAGAACTCCAGAAGTCGCTAAAACGAAGCAAGGACACAGCACCAGGGGCCGACAGGATAACCTACTCCATGCTTTCCCATGCTGGTACAGCCGGACACGAGGCTCTGCTACAAGCCATCAATGCTTCGTGGGCAGCACAAAGACTCCCACCGGAATGGAAGAAGGCAGATATACAGCCCATTCCGAAGCCCAGAGAACCAGACAAACCGAGGCCCATCTCCCTTCTCAGCTGCATAGCGAAGACGGGAGAAAGAATGGCTCTCAACCGACTCAAGTGGAAAGTAGGCAGCCCACACCCTCACATCTTTGCTTACACCGAGAACACCGGCACAGGCAACAACATTGCCGAGAAACTCAGCATAGTGGACAATAAACCAGCTCTGGTGGTCTTCCTCGACCTGGAAAAGGCCTTCGAACTAGCAAATCCACTGGCCATTACAACGACGCTCGCTGAAAAAGGCGTCAAAGGAAGGTTGCTGGGGTGGATCCAGAACTACCTCACACAGAGAGAAGCAAGAGTACGCTTCCAGGGAGCAACCTCAAGCTACAGGGTCCATGAAAACGGAACCCCACAAGGAGGCATCCTCAGTCCAATGCTGTTCAATGTCCTGATGGAAAATCTAGTCAAACTTCCTTTCAGACAAACAGCCAAGCTCCTATGCTATGCAGACGACTTACAGCTTATAGTAAGAGGATCAAACAGACTAGCCAACACGCAACACGCACTCCAACTTATAGAAGAGGAGTGCAACAGACTTGGACTCAAGATAAATCCAGCCAAGTCGAAAGCGATGGCCATCTGCACAGACACACCAGACAAGATGCTCTCCATACAAAACACGCCGGTAGTCTGGACCAACACCCACCAGTGTCTTGGAATCTGGTTTGACCAGAAACTCACCTTCAAGCCGCAACTCGAGTATCTCAGGCACAGGACGAAGAGCAGACACAATATAATGAGGTCGCTCACCAGCAAATCCGCAGGAGCAAACCTTCATGTGCTCAAAGCCTACTACACGGCCGCCATCAGATCGCTGGTAGATTACAGTGCTCCAGCACTCATTGGACTGAGAGAAGACCAAATAGCTAAGCTAGAAGTCATCCAAAATAATGCTCAATCTGATGATCTTGTACGCCCAACACACCTATTTGCTGATAACTTACTCGTAGAGGATCCAAGTTACGTATCTACTGCAAAGGTTGATTTTGAACTTGAGTCAGAAACACAGTTAGACGATTCGGTAGGAAGTAGTGAGCAATTAATTGAGGAATCATATGACGACTTAAACCGTCGTATTTTACAGTCTGGAAATCAATATAGTACCTCACCTACGATTACACAGGTAGTTTCTAACCCTGTTCCAGGTGACAGTGTGTCAGTTGACTAGTCAGTAACACCCCCATTAACTCAGCCTTCCGTGAGGAATAAAAGTACTAACTTACTAATTTCTAACGCTACAATGACTTCCTCTATCACTCACCCCAATACTGCTACCACGTCAACTAAATCTGATAATGTAGTTCATATAATGCAGCGTGGCGACTACGTTCGTAATTTTACGGGCCAGGATGATTTTCGAGTAGCTCATTTTATTCGTACTTGTGAAGACACCATGCGCACCGGTAAAATTGCAAGTGATGAAGAGAAAAAAGCATTTGTGCGTTCCCATATTACGCAGGGATTATATGCCGGAAATCATTTAAATGAGTATGGTTTAACAGACCCTCTAGCTATGAGAAATTCAAGAGCACACTTATTGGAGTATTTTGGGGCAGGTCCCAGTTGGGCCAATTACAATGGATCTTCAGATGGTTGGATCGTTGTACGCCAGTGATTCACGCTCAAACACCGGTGGTGGCAGTGGATATCGCAGGAGAGGTTCGCCAGGATATGGAAGCGACCTTCCGAAATTCAAATTGGTACGACCAGGATAATAAAATGTCAGCGACCAATGTAAAAAGGTTGATAGAATTAATTAGCTTCCTGTTAGTTGTTCGTCGTCCCCTATACAGCCGGGCACAGGAGGTACAGTTTGAACCACCTATAGATATGGTTGATTACGCAAACAGACTCTGTCCCACGGCTACGGGCCCTTTGATGGCACAGCCCTCCATGACTACACCGCAACCACAGATGGCACAGATGACACCACCCCAAATTCCTCATATGACACCAGTGGCTCCGATTGCACCTCAGCACCGGACATACAAACTAGGTACTTCTTTACGATGTGCTCATTGTAATAAAAGAGGCCATGTAATTGAAAACTGTTTCCAGCTCCAGGGTAAAAGTGTAAAATTATAGGAGACATCCGGTGCCAAGCAGATCACAAGGTCATATACACGGAGGCAGCTAAGGCGACACCTCCACCCACCCAGAAGGCACGCAAGTGGTGCGCACTACATAAGTTAACATCTCATAGCACACAAGAGTGCGGCTTAGTAATGAAGGTTAGGAATGTAGACTTTGGTGAAACACAAGTGGCGTACAATCGTAAACAGAAGCGTTTCCAAGACAAGACGTCGGGAGAAGACCAGCGCTCGCCACAACAAGGAGAGGGATAGGTACATTGTTTCCTGCTTCTCCCCACAACACTTCTATAGCGGCCTCGTTATTAACGGCGCTAAGCAAAGTGGAACCGTTGTCCGTGCCGGTGAGGGTTGATAGTACAAGATTGGCTCTTGATATTGATATGGGTGCATGCGCTAATGTTTTGGCCTTGACATCCTATCAGGAGTTACAACGTAAAGTCCCTCACTGTGACTTCAACTGGAGGCCTAGTAACGCTGAGCTCGAAGGAGTATCAGGTACTCAGTTGAGCATTAACGGAATGGTGACGTTACCACTCAGATTCTCAAGACGTGGTTCCCCCTTCTACGCGGACTTTTATGTAGTTCAGCAGTTTACTTTGCCAGCTGACGGGTTACTTGGTCTCCCAACCCTTAGAACGAACATGATAGATGTTCATCCAAGTAATAATACTATTACGTTTAAAGGTGTTTCCTACAACGCTATGCTTCATTCTGAACCTATGCTCACCGCTAGGTCGAGAGTGTTGTCCACCAATCCCATTTAGAGGAAGGCGGAACATGCGTCAGAGCTACATCATGACCTCAACCCCACACTTTCCCAGCGTGATTATAGGAGCAATAGTTGGAAGATCGTACCTGCAGTTTTGAAGAGTACTCTCCATTACCAGAATGAGGAATTCACCAAAGCAACTGTCGAATTACCCGACGTGTACACGGGCACTGATGTTGTGTGTCTCCCGGAAACGTGCAAGGTAAAAGGGTTGTCTTGCGAGTCTACATTAAGCACAATACGCCCTGGTGGTTTGACAGACGTACTAATTCTGAATAGAACAGGCGTTCAACGGATATTAAAGAAAGGATGTTAATTGTGTGATTTTCTAGTATATCACAACAATGTCGAAGTATGGCCTACAAAATTCCCAATTGGAAGTATTGTTACGCAATACCAACAGAATCGGCAGGACAGGATAGATCAAATAGCGCCACATGTTAAGGTGATCGATCATCCTCAGGGCAAGACACGCCTTTTAGAGCTGCATGCTGACTATAGAAATATTGTAGCCTTGCCAGGGGAAAAGCTAGGTCAGACAGACTTAACATCCCATCATATAGCGTAAAAGGAGGGAACAAATCCTATCTATGTACCAGCTTACAGACTACCTCATAGCCAGCGCGCTGTAGTTGAAGATATGGTGCAGGATATGTTAGATGAGAATGTTATTAAACATTCTAAGTCCCCCTTTAATAGCCCCTTATTCCTCGTCCCCAAAAAGGATGGTGATTGGCGCCCTGTTATTGATTTCAGGTTCGATAATGAAAAAAACGATCCCAGATAGGTACCCTATGCCTGTCTTGAGTGACATATTGCAATCCTTAGGTAAGGATAATGCTGTATTTAGCAACCTAGATTTGCTTAGTGGGTATTGGCAGATACCACTCGATGAGAAATCACGAGAGGTCACGGCGTTCAGTACGCCCCTAGGCCACTTTGAGTTCCTCCGGATGCCATTTGGTCTCGGAAATGCCCCACTAACATTTCAAAGACTGATCAGCACCCTGTTTGCCGGATTGATTGGTAACACAGTCTGCGCTTATTTGGATGATCTAATAGTAGTCAGTAAGGACGTCGATTCCCATCTGATTAAACTGCGTGAAGTGTTGGCCAAACTTTCCACAGCAGGTCTCAAAATAAAACTCTCAAAGTGCGAGTTTTTAAAATCCAGAATCCATTTCCTTGGTCATGTAGTTGACGGTGAGGGCATACTCACAGTAGATGATAAAGTCAAAGCTGTATCTCAGTTCCCGCGTCCTACCTCAGTTGATCATGTGTGTAGTTTTCTTGGCTTATCTGGATATTATCGTTCTTTTATCAAGAACTATGCAACATTAGCATCGCCTCCTAACAACGTTGCTCAAAAAAGATGCAATGTTTATATGGGACGCTGAACACGAAAATAGTTTTGCGGCATTGAAGATAGCGCTTACCAATGCCCCTGTTCTAGCCTTCCCAGACTACACTCAACATTTCACTCTCTGTACTGACGCTTTTCGACTTGGAATCGGAGCCGTACTCATGCAAGAGGATACGCGTAGGAAGTTTAGAGTGATAGCTTTTGCAAGTCGCAAACTTATTGACGCTGAAACACGTTATTCGGCGACGCATTTAGAGACGTTAGCCGTTGTGTGGGCACTTAAGAAATTTAAAGACATTATCTTTGGATATAAGATAACTGTTTATACTGACCATGCGGCAGTAACTGAGCTGTTCCATGGCAGAAACTTAACAGGCAGATTAGCACGCTGGTATCTGACAATTCAAGAGTTTGACCCCGAGTTCAGATATTTACCCGGGAGGGCGAATGTTGTCGCCGACGCTCTGTCCTGAAATATAGCACCAGTAATGCCTGTATCAACCTTCACTCTTTCGCAACTGAAGATGAGCAACGACGCGACCCATTATGGTCAGCAGTTATTTTGCTCTCGAATCAGGAGAGGATGTTAAACTCCCTAAATTAATTCTTCCCTTAAGTCAGTTTGAATTACGTCATAACATACCCCATAGGTCGAAAAAGACGCCAGAGGGTAATGTTCCTCAAATAGTCGTACCTGACACGTTGTGTAAAGAAGTTCCATGATGTCCCACAGGCAGGTCACCAGGGTCGTGACAAATGCTCAGCGGAATTAAGAAAGAAGTATTTCTGGAACACAATGAAGAAAGACATAGAATTACACATTGCTAAATGTTTGGCATGTGCTAAACATAAAAGTTCTACAGGATCACCGGCCCCTATTCTACAATATCCTACACCAGGCCGTCCGTTTGACACAGTCGCTATTGATTGTTACAACTCCCGAGGAGTCATCAGGGATCAGCGTACGTCTTAGTGTGTGTGGATCATTTTTCTAGATTCGTGGTCTTGGTCCCACTAAAGGATAAAACGGCCGAGTCTGTGGCCTATGCATTAGTGATGAATCTTTTATGTCCATATACTACGCCTAAAGTTCTGCTCTCTGACAATGGGACAGAGTTCAAGAATCAGCTAGTAGCGCAAATATGTGCGCAATATGGAATTAAACAAAGTTTTGTGACAGCTTATCCTCCACAGGCTAATGCCCTTGTTGAGAGAACCAATCGCAAGATCCTGGAGATACTGCGCCCGATTGTCAGTGATTTGCAATACACATGGGAAGATTGGTTACCGCAGGTTGCAGCGTCTATCAATGGGTCAGTTAATAGCTCTACGGGCAAATCACCCTACTACATTGTCTATGGTACAGATAAACGTCTACCTTACGACATCCTTACAGATGCGCCATACCCGTGTTATAATACGGATGATTTCGCGGCAAAACAAATTCGTGTCTTTACGGATATTAATATCCAAGTCCGATCACATTTAGCGGCGTCGCGCGCCGAAATGATGATCAAGCAACATAAACATGCTAAACCTGTCGTTTTAAACGTAGACGATGCTGTTATGGTAAGAGAATCTGAAAGGAACTCCAAGATTTCGGCTAAATTTTCGGGTCCATTCCGCATTATTGCCAAAGAAACAGGCAACAAATTTAAAATTTGGAAGCCTAATGCACAGATTGCAGATGTCGTGCATGCAGACCGTCGTAAGAAGACCTATGAGAATTTATTGCCTACAGTTGATGATGATGTGATAGACACCTCTTTACAGACTGTACAGGAGCACAGTGTTCCCAATGACTATTGTATGAAACTTCGTTCTGCAAATAGATGTTAAACCGTGTGTATTCTCTTACAGAATGGCTTGGAACATCACTGTGTTGCTTCTACTGTGTTGTGGCACCGTTGTGTTGACAGACATGTCCATATCCGTCCTCAAGCCTGGTGTGCTAGTTGCACCTCTCGGACGCGGTCTCATAGTAGAGGACGTGGTGAACATCAAGTATGAGTTACATGGACTGCTCCAGCTTCCGCATCAGATGGAAAACGTCGACGCCCAACTACAATCAGCAGTGGACATCCTTTATGGTCTCAGCGCAGCTGCTAATGAATCGACGATAGTTTCACAAACTATTGACCTTCTACACTTTCGTCTCCAGAATCTTCGCAAGCTTCTTGTCGATGTTGGAGAGAGATTACCAGCGTCTGAAGTGGATCCTGCTAAAGAAGTGCATTCTCAGACACGACGAAAAAGGGGTTTATTTAATTTTGTGGGTCTTATCCAAAGCACTTTGTTTGGCACGGCAACGGCCGATGATGTAGCTAAATTGGGGGACCGAATGAACATTGTAGTTAAAGCTGTATCTCAGCAGAATCGTGTTATTTCTCAAACCTTTCATGCGATTACTGCTTTAGAATCAAAGGTTAATGCGATAATATCGGAGTCTAACCAAGTATCGAGGATTGTTAGTAGGTTACAGAAGTCAATCCCGACGTTAGAGTGGCTCCTTTATTTCACGGTATATTTGAATGCTGCGGAAATTTCAGTTCAGAAGATTGTAACCTGTAAAAATGAACTAATTGACAGCATAGTACTGTAGATGCAGGGATGGGACTTGTGGACGCAAAGCTTGTGCCTGTGTAGACTCTTCTTGACGCTTTACAGATAGCCAAGATGCAGTGTAACTTAACTCCTATTTTTAATGACAATGAGGTAGAATATTATTACCCGCTGTTGGAGTCGACTCTCACGCACAATGCAATTCTGATCCACATTCCTATGCGAGGGCAACATGAGTTTAATGCATGGCATTTAGAACCCTTCCCCTGGTTTGTTAACGACACACTGTATACTCTCAATAGGCCTAGAGAACTTTTCCTAATAGATAAAAATTATTCTTTATTGTCATTAGAGGATCCTAAGGTACTGTCACGGTGTAAGTCGTCTTATCTACACCTACACGTATGTCCAGCCTATATGTTCGCATTTATTTCTGCTGCAGAGGGAATATGTGAATTGAAAGTCATGCAAACCAATGTACGCACAGCACTTGCGCAATGCAGCTATAGGCCAGTTAGTGTCAAAACTGTGTTTCACGCTCATCTTCACAATGTGAAGTACTTGTTCTTTCCAAATACTACTACTGTTATTTTAAAATGCCATGATGGTGTTAAGCAGCTAGTTGTGAAAGGGCATTACAAGGCTCCGGATTATTGTGAAATCACTTGTGGTTCATTACGGACCTTGCCTACTCATCAGCACGTTGCCATAAATATAAAACTCAAGTCTGCCTTAGTTCCACTTCCTGTCATGAATTTCACTGTAAAGGATATTCAAATTGTTTCAGAGAAATTGAAAGTCATTGCATTCTTGAAAGCGACACATTTTTCTGATTTGAGTAATATTTGCCATTTTATTTATCAAGGGAATTTGCTATACCAAGTCTCACAATTCCCACAATTATGTTAATTTTGGCAATCATGTTTCTATTCTGTTATTATAAGTCAGTGTCATCCAAAATGAACGTTGTTCATAACATTTTAACCCGTAAGACACTAAAGTATAGGTCCCCTGAAGTAGCTGATACCCCTACAGTAGTAGAATCCCCAGCTTAGTGTCTACACCTCTGTTTATAACATGGTTAGGGTTGTATAGGATGTACTGCACTCTGTGAACTTATTTAGGCCTCACGGAGCTTGGCCGGTGGTGACCGAGCGATGTAATGGCCCCTGCCTCATCAACAGAAGTATTATATTAATGGGCTATTTACATCTGATTTATATTCAGAATCATCCCCTGTAACTTTCCACTGGCTATGAGGTGACATGTTCAATGCACGTAATAAGGTGTGCCCAAGGGAAGCTGCGTCATACTATGCTGAGTAAAGGCATAAGTAGCCGGCTCTCTGGCCACGGAAGCGAGCAGTAGTTTGATATCCTTGACTAGAGGAAGACGTTATTTGAGAGCCGCAGTGGATGGCTCCGTCTTCCCTCGAGGGGGAAAGAAGTCCCAATTCCATTCTCCCTCGATGGGTCACTATTCAAAGTCACTCACATCAACTTTTATTGAACGGACGTTGATTCACGTTTATATACATAAACGCCGTCCTCTTTCTCATTCACTCATTAATAGTGGAACTTACGGTTGATCTACACTCAAGAATTATAAACATAATCCTTTTATAATAAAACAAGAAACTTCAATTGGGTTTGTTACCAAAATCCCAATATATATTATATGTGTTCCAACCTGGTTAACTGGGGAATTAACCAGTGTAACAGTCATGTGGTAAAGGACACGTGACTGGACAATATGTGTTATGCGGTAAAAGACACATGGCTGGACAATATGTGTCATGCGGTAGACACATGAGGTAATCCACCGCCTCAAGGCTTTACTGGGATCTAACAAGACTCACATGATCTTGTTGAGACTAAACTAGGACAGTAAAGTGTAACAACAGTTAAAGTAACTTATATTACAACTAGGAACACAAAACAGCTCTCGTACAGTATATTTAATATCGCGTAGACTAATGACCACTGGTTGTTACTAAAGAGGATCCAAACATCAGACTTTGAACTTCAGTAATTCCTAATTTTTATGACAAATATTTTAAGAGGAGAATAGACTGACTATAGAGTAGAGTATGTAGAACATCATCCAGTAATGGAGTCCGTCCCTTAATGGTGCACACCCAACTGCTGTCATTACCTGCTGCTGCTGCACCTTTGAATAGTTTAATGACATCTATTAGTAGGCGACGCCTTCTGTTGCACACACCAGCAACATTACAGTGTTTGTTTTGTAGATGGTGTCATAGTCATCACATATATTGTATAAATTTTGACAACACTGATGAAGTATACAGCATTATTTATATATACTACAGTGTGTGTGTTATGCATTTGCACATTTTGCAAGGAGCAGGTAGGTAACTAATACTATATATTACTATATACTGTCCTTAGAGGCAAGTGTTACTCTCAGCTGTACAGTACAGTATAAATCACGGAGGTGGAGACGCTCACTAGAGGCATATCATGTAAACAGTTACGTCCTGGCGGCTCTATAACACAATGGTGAAAGTGACGTGATGTGTTGTGTCACAATAGACCAGGGCGGTGTTATGTAATGTGAACTTGTGGGACTTGAGATAACCTCTTAAAATGGCCGCCACAAGTCTGTGTGCAGAGACAGATATTCTATGTGGTGCTGCCTCACTCAGACTCTACAGTGGAAGAGGTAGTAGCACTAGGCACCAGACCCTTAATGTTTCTACTACTTGTGTATTTACAGTACATAATGTTTTGTTGCTGTGCAGGTGAGTCTCTTATATAAAGATTATTATTAACTTAATAACAACAGTCGTCGTCTGCCATAACTGACACAGTTAAGTTTCTCCTCTGTGTTATCATTAGTTTAATTATGAGGACAGACTAACAACATGCTCTAACTAACTCAATACACCAAAACGACCACAAAAATGCCGTAAAAGTTACGTGTTTGAGGAGACTTCACCGCCACCCTGATGCTGTGGTGCCAAGTCTTCACTACCAACACCCTCTTATGTTTCTGTGCCTGGCTGACAGAATTAAATTATTTATAGGAACAAAAACTACAGAAAAGTACGAAAATGGTAGGTCGTCCACTTGATTTGCGGTTTTTACTGGTAAGGAAGAAGCATTATAGTACAAAACTAAACGAAAAGAGGTGGTTTAGGTGCACAAGGAGAATGACAAGACTAATCCCGGGCATTAGGAACCTTGAGTACAGAGACAGGTTAAAGCATCTTAATTTGCACTCCCTCGAGAGACGTAGAGTGAGGGGCGATATGACAGAGGTGTATAAATGGAAGTCAGGGCTAAACAAAGGGGACATTACAAAGGTACTCAAACTATGCAACCAGGAGCGAACTCGTAACAATGGTTTTAAATTAGACAAATTTAGATTTAGGCACGAAATAGGTTGCCAAATATCATCATTAACTCGAATACGCTGGATAGCTTCAAACATAGGTTGGATGGATATATGAGCAATACGGGTTGGGTGTAAATGGGACTGCCCAGTATGGGCCAATAGGCCCGCTGCAGTTTCCTCCATTATTATGTTCTTATGTCTCCTGACTTACTCCGCGTGGTGCCAGCAGACATCAACAAAGTCTGATACAGTTCCCCATGCACTAGTTGAACATGTTAATGCCTCTCAGCTTCCTTCAGTCACGGGCAGCAACATCTCGGTAAGGTCGGACACGAGAGCAATGTTGACTGTACGTAATTCCTTAAGGGCTTGGCACTCCAGCAGGTCAGTGAAGCGAGCATTTCCAAGTCTCTTTATTTATCACATGTTATCAGATATTCTCTTCGTATCCAGCGGTTTTTATAAAGCCATTGTACAGTACAGTACCATGGACAGCTGTACCTTCATTCTCTTCATCTGTCGTGAATGAGGACATCTGTGCCCAGTTCTTCCTCACCTACTGTACTTATGATCACCTCTGCATTTCCAAGTCATACCACCTCTGTCACGCGCTACCTCTGCCGCCGTCATCCTCTCCTGCTCTCTCTCTCTCTTACTCTCATACAGCTCCGTCTCTTTCTCCTCACCTACATCTTCAGGCAGCTCCTCGCCTCCCTGCCAGCATAACATTCAGGTCACTGAGCTGCAGCACCATAATGAGGCGAGCTGCAGTGGTCCAAAATGCACGAGTGGAATCATGGGGTTCACTTTTTCCTCTGCTTTGGCGACGCTCTGAATGGCTGGTCGGGTCAATACTCGCTGGCCGGGAAAGGCTACCCTCTCACACTTAAATATATACGTCAAAATGTACCAGTCGGTGAAGGAGGTTTGAATGAAACTGGTATTGGACTGACGTACAGTAAGGTAACACAAGGTTTTAATCTCGTAAAGGAACCTGTCACTGTTCATATATATATACATATATATATACACATATATATATATATATATATATATATATATATATATATATATATATATATATATATATATATATATATATATATATATATATATATATATATATATGCAAGTAAATCACTGTAGGTGCGCGTGAGCCAGGTATATGCTGATAACCACACAGGGAAAAGGGAAACAATGGAGCACCTTAGCTTTCGTCTTTATTGAAGACATCTTCAGAGGCAACTGAATTACATGGACGGAAAGAGGCTTAAATACAAAGGGTGACATTATTAAACAAGAGGTCAGGTCATAACCATGACATCCACTAATCCGCACACCAACACCAACACACACGCAGAGGAGCTTAAAAGAAAGGGCGACGTGACTAGTCAAGTTAAGTCAGGTCAAAAATATAGGACCCACTAATCATCTATCCTACATCTAACTCCAATGCTTTCAAGGCATTTTTAACCTTGGGACATTGACAAATAAATTTGTGTAACATATTATCAGTTTTGCACTGACCATCACTAAGGTTTATGGAATTTAATTCCCTAATCAAACTAGCTTCTACCAGAAGTTTTTCTGTGACACATGATGATTTGTACACTTCTAAGCTGGTTTTCCAATCAATGGGATGATTATTATTCCTAACATAAACGAACAGGGCATTGCTTTCAGATGCTGTTCTGATATTGTACTTGTGCTGTTTGACTCTGAGTTGCAATGCTTTCCCAGTCTGTCCTACATAATTTCCATTACAATTGCTACATGGAGTACAATAAACACTTCCATTTACATTCAAAGTTGGGCTATTCTTGATTAATATATTGGTAATGGTTGAGTCATACTTAAAAACAACATTAATATTTAATAATTTAAGGGACTGAACTAACAGGACAAATTCATTGCGATAAGGAAGAGTCAAAATATTCTTAAGTGTAGGAATTTGCCGCCTGGTTTGAGTAGAATGAAAGGATTTTTTAGCCCTTTTAAAACAATGATCAACAAACACAGAAGGGTACCCGAGTTTTGTGCAATGGAACGAATGTGTTTCAATTCTTCATCAATAAATTCAGCGTCACAAATACGCAAGCATCTCAAAAACATAGCAGAAAAAACTGACATTTCGGTAGACTCCAGGTGACTCGATAAAAAATGTATGAAACTGTCTACCTGTGTACTCTTTCTGTACACCTTAAACTTATAGTTATGGTCATTTCTAATGATAAGCATATCAAGAAATGGAAGGGATCCATTTATTTATTTCAATTTCTCTTTCAACGTCACCCTTTGTATTTAAGCCTCTCTCCGTCCATGTAATTCATATATATATATATATATATATATATATATATATATATATATATATATATATATATATATATATATATATATATATATATATATATATATATATATATATATATATATATATATATATATATATATATATATATATATATATATATATATATTGTCATGGGTTGCGTTGGGCCTCCCGCACAACCCATCCCAAATGTTTGTTTACGGTAGAGATAAGGTAACCGGCCAGCCATGACTGGGACATGTAGGGGGGGGGCAGGCCAGTGAGACAGTGGTGTACTGTTCATCACTTCACGCCTCAAAAAAAAACCAATTTAGCCAGTGGGCTTTAGACCTTGGGCTAGAGAAGACCTCCTGCTCCGCGGACTTAAGATTAGGGGCCATACAGTCCTACCAGTGCTACGGGTCTGTGTGTGCAAATCCCCGAGATTTTTTTTGTTAAGTCCAGCGACAAGTTAACACATCCTGTAAAGGAAGTGATCAATGGTGAGGGCCTGTTTGCTACAAGAGCACTCCAGGCCGGCCTAATAGATCTAAACGATTAATTTACCAGGTTGACAAACTCTCCCTTATAACTTACGGTACTGTGGCGTGAATGTGAGTGACTGACCTATCCATGCAAATTATAAGTCCAGTGTATGGAATTGTGCCCAATAAACGTAAGTGCAATCATCTGCCCGTATCTGTGATTCCTCTATTATTATTATTACCAAAGGTAATGACTCATTGGTTATGACAAGTATAACCAATAACTTAGATGGATGTTGGAAGTTAGTGGAATTCATTAAATCATCATTTATCAAGTACATAACGCATTGAATGCCGGAAGCAGAGCAAAATTCTACGTAGTGATACACCATAATCTCTTGGGTGAGTAACCAGTGTGAAGGTATCTGAGTTCTACGGTAAGAAAGCCACTTTCCTGCATTTAAAACGTAACAATCGGTATTCCCTATTTTGGTGGATTTCACCAAAAATTCCGTTTTCAGAGTTTTTGCAGGTTCGTATCTAAAAATTGTGGTGGTTAATTTATATAACATAGTTATTTTGAACTTGTAATAAATCTAACTCCTCTTTTTTATCATTTTCAGGTGAAAACTGATAACCTGGCAATGGCTTCAACATCCCAAAGACGGAATTGCTGCAATGACCCAGATATATTCTGCTACATCTGTGGAAGCTTTACTTTGAAAAGTCAAAGGCGCAACATCACCAGTTTTGTGAAGAGAGTGTACCTCGCTTACTTTAAAGTACCACTTGGAGACCAGGACAAAAGTTGGGCTCCTCACAAAGTGTGCAAAACCTGCCTGGAAACTTTGCGATCCTGGTCTCAAAGAAAGAATGCTAAACTTCAGTTTGGCGTGCCTATGGTTTGGAGAGAACCAACGAATCATTCAGATAACTGCTACTTCTGCCTCGTCAATGTTAAAGGTTTCAATAAGAAAAACAAACAATACCTGCAATACCCAAATATCCCATCAGCCATACGACCAGTTCCCCACAGTGAAGAAATACCTGTGCCAGAATTTACTGAGCTACCAGAGATTGAGGATATAGACCGGAATTCACCTGTTTCTACTGATGAAGATGAAGAGACTGATCTTTTCAAGCCATCTGGTGAAGATTGTGAAAAGCCAACGTTGTTTACTCAGTCAGAATTGAATGATCTGGTCAGAGATCTAAATTTGCCAAAACAGTCTGCTGAATTGTTAGCTTCCAGGCTTCAAGAGAAACGACTCTTAAAACCTGGCACGAGTGTCTCCTTTTATCACAACAGAGAAGAGCAACTGCGGAAGTACTTTCATTCATATGACCAGCTTGTTTTTTGTAATGATGTAGAAGGACTTCTTCTCTCCATGGGACTACCAGCATATGATAGTAAGGATTGGAGACTTTTTATTGACAGTTCTAAAAGGAGCTTGAAATGTGTTCTTCTTCATAACGGAAACAAGTATGGTTCAATTCCAATCGGACATTCTGCACAAATTAAAGAAGAGTATGAAAACATTAAGACTGTTCTAGAGAGGTTGCAATACCATGCTCATGAATGGTTAATTCGTGTGGACTTGAAAATGGTAAACTTTCTATTGGGCCAGCAAGGAGGGTACACAAAATACCCCTGTTTTCTGTGCTACTGGGACAGCAGGGCTACAGCAGACCATTGGGTGAAAAAGAATTGGCCACCAAGACATAATTTGACGCCTGGTGACAAGAATATCATTAACGATCCTCTGGTTGACAGGAAAAACATTGTCCTTCCTCCTCTGTACATAAAACTTGGTATCATGAAGCAATTCGTCAAGGCTCTTGATCATAGTGGAGAGTGTTTCAGATATATATGCTCAACCTTTCCAAGTCTTAGCGACGAGAAGAAAAAGGCAGGGATTTTTGATGGACCTCAAATAAGAACACTACTCAGAGATCCACACTTCCTTGCAACAATGAGTGAGGCACAGGCAAGAACTTGGAATGCTTTCTCTAATGTGGTGCGGAACTTCTTAGGGAACAAGAAAGCGGACAACTATCAAGAAATTGTGGAAGAGCTGCTCTTGAGTTTACAAGCACTTGGATGCAGAATGAGTATCAAGGTTCACTACTTACACAGTCACTTGGACGAGTTTCCAGAAAATCTGGGAGAAGTGAGCGAGGAGCAAGGGGAGCGCTTTCATCAAGACATTAAAGTAATGGAAGAACGTTACCAAGGTCGATGGGACTCGAACAGATGGCGGACTACTGCTGGAGTTTGATGAGAGACATTCCAGAAGCTGTACATAAGAGATCGGCCAAAAAGAGGAAGTTTATGTAACTGTAACTTGACCTTACTACTTGCACTATTTCTACCGTACATTAATTGTTTTTTTCACCCTTCAATGTTACATTTAAATATTATATGTGCATTAACTTTCCAATTTTATATTAACAATTTTTGGTTATAGAAAAATACAAATTATAATGCTGAAAAAATTTATGTATACATGTTCAAACCGTCAATTTTGATCCAAAAGTTTACGTTTCCCAGCAAAAGTGCAATATGGCATATCTCAAAAACCTGATGTGATAGACAAAAACCAAAGTCATATTTGGATTCTGCACCCCAAATTTACTGAAAATCCGTTTAAAAACCTTGTGCCAGAAAAATTGTGTTGACCGGTGTAATAGTCATAATAATTCATAGCAAATAAAATTTATGATAAAACAAACAAAATAAAATAATAAAATTATGATGATAATAATACAGTAACTGTAATAATAATAATATTAATAATAAAGAACTATAAATACAAAATGAAAAAAAAGATCAAAAGTGAGAAACGAAATATGTATGTTGCGTTGTCAATGGTAAGAGAAACAATTGAGACCCTGCAACAGTGTGTAAATGAAGCAGAAAGTCAGATCAGCAACCTGGGACTTGGTCACATATGGCAGCAGGGTCTACCATTAGACAACACATTATGCTTCCAATATCTTCCCAGGCGGTAGTACCTCCCTGTAAGGTAGCTGCCTACTACCTACTACTGGGGCGTGGCTAAAAACTTCACCTGACTTAGCATGACTAATTACGTCACCCGTTCGTTTGTGTTTGTGGTGGTGTTGGTGTGTGGATTAGCGGATGTCATGTTTTTGACCTGACCTCATGTTTTTTAAGGTCACCCTGTGTACATAAGCCTCTCTCAGTCCTTGTAATTCACTAGTTTAATTGAAATTGGGGAAAATAATGCTGATTGTTTCAGAATAATGCTGATTATTTCCAACGTCTACCAGATATTAAGCACAAGACTGAAGCAATTTATATAAAGCAATTACATTACAGTTAATATCTTTTATTCTTTAGTAAATGTGCAAAAAATACATTGCAAAGAAGAAATAAAAAAAAATAAAAAGACCATATGTCCATTTGGCCAAATGTCCGTTCGGCCATTTGGCCGTTCGGTCTACTGTCCGTTCGGTCTATTGTCCGTTCGGCCAAATGTCCGTCGGCTCGATGTCCGTTCGGTCAAATGTCCGTTGGTGAAACGTCCGTCGGCCAAATGTCCTTCAGCCAGCTGTCCGGCCACGAATGATACAATGATAACGTCACCATACTGTACAGTAAGTAGGAAGGAGCTGTTGTTGTAGACCGAGACAAAACTCTTCATAACAGTCAATTATGGACTTATTATCTGTATATATTACTGCAGGGGTAACGAACAGGGAGAGAGAGAGAGAGAGAGAGAGAGAGAGAGAGAGAGAGAGAGACTCCTGATTAAAACATAAACAATATACAGATAATTTTCCATGAATATCATTATAAATATTGGAAGTTTCACTTTCAATTACGTTTATGCCCATCACAGCTGCCTCCTACTCCTCCTCTGAGCACCCATAGCAGCTGCCTCCTCCTCCTCCTCCTCCTCCTCCTCCTCCTCCTCTTCGGAGCACCCATCACAGCTTCCTCCTCCTCCTCTCAACACTCATCACAGCTGCCTCCTTCTCCTCTCAGCACCCATCCTTCCTCCTCCTCCTCTCAGCACCCTCCTTCCTCCTCCTCCTCTCAGCACCCATCCACAGCTTCCTCCTCCTCCTCTCTCCAGCACCCATCACAGCTGCCTCCTTCCCTCCTCAGCACCCATCACAACTACCTCCTCCTCCTCTCCTCTCACTTTCCCATCACAGCTACCTCCCCTCCTTCTCCTCCTCACTTTTCCCCATCACAGTGACCTCCTCCTCTCCTCTCAGCCCCCTTCACAGCAGCCTCCTCCTCCTCCTCTGCTTTCCCATCACAACTACCTCCTCCTCCTCCCCACCTCCTCCTCCCAGCACCTCCCACAGCTACCTCCTCCTTCTCCTCCTCTCAGCACCATCCTGACCTCCTCCTCCTCTCAGTACCCATCACAGTGACCTCCTTCTCCTCCTCAGCCCCTTCACAGCAGCCTCCTCCTCCTCCTCAGCACCATCCCACAGCTACCTCCTCCTCCTTCTCCCTTCTCCTCTCAGCACCCATCACAGCCTCCTCCTCCTCCTCCTCTCCAGCACCCATCACAGTTCCCTGCCTCCTCCTTCTCCTCCTCTCAGCCCCTTCACAGCAGCCTCCTCCTCCTCTGACCCCCTTCACAGCAGCCTCCTCCTCTCTCCCTCTCCATGCCCCTTCTGACCTCCACCTCCTCCTCTCCAGCCCCCTTCACAGCAGCCTCCTCCTCCTCTCCCTTCACTGCGGCCTCCTCCTCCTCCTCTCAGCACCCATCACAGTGACCTCCTCCTCCTCTCAGCACCCATCACAGTGACCTCCTCCTCCTCTCAGCACCCATCACAGTGACCTCCTCCTCCTCTCAGCACCCATCATTTTCTTATGTTCTTATGTATGTTGAGTTCGCTCTTGGTTGGATAGTTTAGTACCTTTGTAATGTCCCTTTGTTTTAGCTGACTTCCCTTATACACCTCTATCAGGTCGCCCCTCGCTCTCACGTCTCTCGAAGGAGTGCAAATTAAAATGCTTTAACCTGTCTCTATACTCAAGGTTCTAATGCCGGGATTAGTCTTGTCATTCACCTCTGAATTCTTTCCAATGATTCTATATAAATCCTATAATAAGGTGACCAGAACTGAACTGCGTAATCGGTATAATCTCTGGCGCAAGATACAGTTTTAGGATGACCTCGCTAGTCTTGTAACTAACACTCCCTTGTATGAACCCAAGTACTTTATTATCCTTACTTCTGAGCAAAAACACATTGCTTACTTGGCTTTAGGTTCCTACTTATCATTACTCCTAAATCTCTCTGAGTCGGATTTCTCTATGGCATCGTTGTTCATCTGGTATCTGGTTTCCCTGTTTACATCTCCTATACTGAGTACTTTACATTTGTCACGTTCAATTTCATCTGCCATTTTAGACCATTCGAAAAATTTGTTTAGATCTTCCTGTAGTTTGCGAGGTCTCGTACATTTAATATACGTACTATTTTAGTGTCATCAGCAAATTTTCTTATGTTGCTGTCTATGCCGATATCTATGTCGTTTATGTATATAATAAATAATAGTCAAGTACTGACACCAGGGGAACTCAGCTTGTGACGTTGCTCCAATGGAACTTAGTGCCGTTAATGCTCACTTCGCTGTTTCCTGTCCTGTAACCCGCCCAAATCCATTTAAGGATATTACCTTTGATGCCATGCGCTTCTACCTTTCTAATTAGTCTTTCGTGGGGACTCTGTCAGCTTTGCTAAAGTCGAGATATACCACATCATAATTGTGCCTTGTCCACCAATTCAAAAACTGGTGAAAAGAATGTTAATAGATTAGTTAGACAGAACGTCGCCTGTGAAGCCATGCTGGGAATCATTGATCAATCGGTGCTTTTCAGGTGATTTCGAATAGAGTTTGAAATGATTGC